AATATAATAGAAAATAATAAAGAAAATACAAAATATAAAGAAAAATAAAACAAATTAACCTCCACTTACCTTTGAAAAACTTCGTGGCTGGTGTGAGGAAGACAAGAGAGAGGAGGATTTATTGTGTAGGACGACTTTCACTATCACTAACAGAATCACTGCTATCTATTGGCTCAATGGAATCTTTTTCTTTTCGTGCAACTTTAACAAGGAACCTATCCAATGATACTTGCTTTTGCCTCCTTTTGAGGATTTCGCGGAAATGTGACATTGCATTGTCATTAAACAGATTCACCACTTGCACTGCTACAGCCTTATTTGGGTGGTGCTTTTCTACAAAATTTTGCATTGTTTCCCACATTTTACACATCTCCCTAATCTCATTTGAAGTGAGGGATTCCTCCGCCTTTTCCTCCTCCTCCTTTGCAGACGAGATCTCCTCCGTAACCTCTTGCTGTTGCTCCGATACAGATCCATCAGTTCGTCGGTGGTCAGCTCCCGGCCATGTTCCTCCACCAGCTCTTGAATGTCGTCCTCATTCACCTCCAGTCCCATGGTCTTCCCCAAGGACACAATTTCATCAACTACTGGCGGCTGCTGTTCATGAGCAAGCCCCTCTAAGTCCAAGTCTAATGTCCAAGAACGCAATCAGGCCACAGTTTTCTCCAGGCAGAATTGAGGGTTCTCTTGGTGACCCCATCCCAGGCTTTATCGATAATCTTGAGGCAGTTCATGATGTGGAAATGGTTTTTCCAAAACTCTCGGAGGGTAAAGTTTCTTCCTTCGGTCACCTCGAAGCATCGCTGAAACAGTGCTTTGGTGTAAAGCTTTTTAAAGTTCGAAATGACCTGCTGATCCATGAGCTGGAGCATTGGAGTGATGTTGGGAGGAAGGAACTTGACCTTAATGAATTTGAATTCCTCCAGTAAGTCGTCCTCAAGGCCTGGAGGATGAGCAGGAGCATTATCCATAACCAGCAAGGCTTTGAGTGGCAGATTCTTTTCTAAAAGGTATTTCTTCACTGCAGGACCGAAGACCTCATTGATCCACTCAACGAACAAGATACGAGGGACCCAAGCCTTGCTGGTGGACCTCCACATAGTGTTTAACTGGCTCTTCTGCACCTTGTATTTCTTGAAGGCTCGTGGATTCTCGGAATGATACACAAGCAGGGGCTTGACTTTGAAATCCCCGCTTGCATTAGCACAAAACAAGAGGGTGAGACGGTCTTTCATGGGCTTGTGACCGGGCATTGCATTCTCTTCTTCTGTAATGTAGGTCCTCTTTGGCATCTTTTTCCAAAAAAGCCCCATCTCATTGTAGTTAAAAACTTGCTCCGGCAGGTAACACTCGGAAACCATGAGCTTCTGGAACTTGGTAGTGAATGCCTCAGCTGCCTTAGCGTCTGAACTTGTAGCCTCTCCGTGCCTCACAACACTATGGATGCCACTTCTCCTCTTAAAGTTATCAAATCATCCCCTGCTTGCCTTGAAGCCTTCTTTGTTTTCTGTTGACGTACCTGGCAGTTTACTTATGAGGTCGGTGTACAAGGCCTTTGCCTTCTCGCAGATAAAGTTCTCGGTCACAGTATCACCTGCTAGTTGCTTCTCGTTTATCCAAACCAGAAGCAACTTTTCTACATCTTCCAGAACACGTGGCCGTTGCTTTGATATTCTCGTGACTCCTTCTGCTGCATCTAGCCCCCTTCTTTCTTCTTTCTTTTTTAATATTATGCAAATGGTCAACATAGACTTCTTATAAAATCTTCCAATTTCGGCCACTTGCATACCTTGTTCGTACTTCTTGATGATTTCCTTCTTAACTTCCACCGTAATCATCTCCTTCTTCTTACAGCCTTTCTTTTCAACCTTTTTCTGCATGGGGGCCATTGTAGTGAGAGAGAGAAGAACCATTGGCTCGTTGTGATCATGTGACGTTTGGCGTCACGTACTACTCGTATTGCAAGACATTGCTCGTTTATCAAGTTAAAATTTATTAGAAATGTTTGCTCGTCTTGCGGAACACTCACAGATCAAGTTATTCGCAATCCAAGGTTTTACTGTACTTTAATTAAGCACTTTTAAGTCCCATACATTTCATAGGAAATTTTCAATTATTTTAAAGAACTGGGACAACTTTGGCGGCACTGTACTGTACTGTACAGAAAACATGTAGCCACTTTTCTGTTCTAGTTGATTTTCAAGAAGCACTTGTTCCTGCTTTTCAGTAAATGGACTGATTGACAGCACCTGGAGAAGTTAGTTCCTAGAAGCCTGTATGCTTGCTTTCCTGCTTCAGTTAAATAACTTCCCTGGTTTAATAATCCATTTAAAAAACAAATCAGAAATCAAGGTTTGGGGTATTATTTTGGATAGCAGCAAAGGTAGGAGTCTGTGGTAACACAGATCTAACTTTTTCGATATATAATGAGGTTTTTTTCCCCGAGTTTCTCAACTACTTAAAAAACTACCTTGGCAATGCGTACAGATTTGGTACAGTGATCTGGATTCAAAGAGCAAAATATGATTCAAAGGAGAGGTGATGTGTATCATCTGTCACAAACCTGAAACCCAGCATGTCTTCTCCCAGGTACTGAGTGAGCCTTAAAAAAGATGCAACTGTTTTAAGATGTTCCCAACAAATGCTGTGTGTACCCACACATGTTCGTGTTACATTTTGCCCTTTGATTCAAGATTGCTGCACAACCTTAATAATGTTTTACGGAGTGGAAGTTTCTGATGTATATATTTACAGCAATATATATACACAAAGCTACACATTTTCCTTTCTCTTATTTCTCACTCTCCCAGAGCAAACCTTGGTACTGAGGCAGTACAGTATCTGGCTACTCTGAAATTAATGTTTTCTCATGTCAATACAGGTGGTCCTCATTTAGTGACTGCCTCATGGTGATGAAAAAGTAACTTTAGACCAATCCTCGCATTTACAACCTTTGCTGGTCTGTAAAGCAAAGGAAAGCTGAAGTGAGATCATAAGCACAGTCATGGTTTCATTTAGTAACTGCTTAATGACCAAGTTGCTGGTCTCAATTGTTATTTATTTATTTATTTATTTA